TATATATATATATATATATATATATATAAACTTATTGGGAGCAAATGAAATGGACTTGGCACATGACTTGAAAAGATCCAGTTTTTTGTCAATTGAAAGAAAAAAACTTATATAATTGTTCTGTCTTTTTGTGTGAGTAGACTATACCCATTGCCCTGTGTAATCCCCCCTGCCTTCCTGGCTACATCAAACAAAAGAAGGAAGAGGCACCATTCTGCTGTTACACATGTGATGAATGTTCAGTAGGGAATATTTCTAATGAAACAGGTAGGAAACATCCTGCTATCATTTGTACTAGTAATTATCTTCCATATAGTCATTAGAGGTATCATATATTCGCCTGAATTCTATTGGCAGGGACTAAGCAGAATAGATCTAGTGGATCAATTGTTGAAAGCTTAATCAACATTTATGTAAATCCTACTGTTTCACCATAACTAACTTACATGTCCCTTACCAAGAGAGTTTGGCTCAAGACTTTATGGAAAGAGAGACAGGAGACATTTTCCAGTTTCAGTTATGTATGTCAGATAAGACACTATTTACTAGAGGTGTGTACAACACCCCAAATCAGTTTTATTTGTATTTATGAAATTTTTGCAACCCTTGTGTTGATTCTAAAATGTTTTGAACCATTTGTAAGGAGTCTGGGTCGTATCTACTAAAAACGGATGAGAAAGTCGTTATTTTTTTCCTTTTGTTATTTAAAAAACCTACAAGATCTAAGCAAAGCTATGCTTGGTGGAGGAGGAGACCCCACGGGAGCCTAGAGTGATTCTTCTCCATCTGCTGCCCAGCCTTTCCCAAGCAGGCCCTCTCCTGCGCTGGGATTGGGGTAAGCCATGCCCGGCGGAAGAAGAGGCCCTGCTGAAGGCAACAGGCCCTACTTAAGATAGCAATTATTCTAATGCCATAGGACACCTCCCCACCAGTTGTGCAGCTCATCCCAGACCCAGCGCAGGGAAGGGTTTGCTTGCAGCCCTCACTGGAGCCTCCTCCACCAGGCAAGAGCTCACCATGAGAGGGTGGCCAATGGAGAATGGGAAATAGAGAAAGAAATAGAGAGCAGCCCTGCCTCAGCCCTGAGGGCACAAGGAATGAGAGCGGGTGGAGCTATAGAGAGAGAGGACATATGAAACAAACAAACTTCTTAATGACAACTCAGGGATATGTGTTTCAATTTGTTTGTGTTCGATGGGGTGGCTCGGTGGGTCGTAAATCAGGTTAATGAAACACAATTTACAACCGTCTTACGATTTTTTGCACAGCCTTACTATTTACCTGTCCCAAAATCTTAATCTTTGTAATGAAATGTATATGATATTCCTCAAGGCTTCTATTCAAGCCACATTCATGAAAAGCAGTCTTTGTTTCAAGGAAGAATAAACAAAAGAACAGAATCATAACCATGTAAAATAAATCATATTTGTTGATTTTGAGAAGTATTTATTCCAAAGATATTAATTCTATTCATAGTGAAACAGCATGGGAAATCATTTCTAAAGGCCCCAACCTTCAATTTTTGTAATCCAATTATGAGCTTTAACGATGTGGCATGCTCCAATGTGTATGCATTAATGTACCCTTCTGAAAAAAATACTGAGATAATATCAAAACAAATCCTTTGTCATACATTAAGCAGGGAAAGTGAAGTTCATGAGCCACCCATGTTTCCTGCAACCATTTTGTGACTTCTTAGGGTCCAAAAAATACCTTCAAATACAATGTAGATAGTGTATGGAACAATTCTGCCATTTTCCACCACCCCTGAAAGTTTTGAGACCATGAGAGTCCTTTTTTAAAAAAAACAAGAGGTGAATCAACATTTGACTTTAGGGCAGTAGTTCCCAACCTTTTTTGACCAGGGACCACTTGACTAGGGACCATTCTCCAACATTAGTACCAAAAGGGTTATGAATCAGTTTTTGGTCAACTCTAGATTCAGTTTAGTTCTTGAGGACCACTGATGGTCCTTGGATCACAGGTTGGGAGCCACTGCTTTAGGGCAACTTCTTTTTGTAGAGAGGACCTCTCCTGGACCTAACACATTGTTTGGAAATAGATTCATATATCTGTACGTGTCAATCATGTGGTTCTTATCCAACAATGAAATATGTGTCTGGATGATAATGTATTTAAGAAATTCATAGACTTTATCCCCCACCTCCTTTCTTGTTTTGTTTTTTTTTAAAGACATGAATGACTGTTTCAAATGCTCAGAAGATCAATATCCAAACAAGGAGAGAAATGACTGCCTGCCCAAAAAGTTGACCTTCCTTTCTTATCACGAACCCTTGGGCATCTTCTTGGGTGTTCTAGCACTACTGTTTTCTCTAACTACAGCTTTGGTGTTTGGAATTTTTATGAAGAACGGGAGCACCCCCATTGTCAAAGCTAACAATCAGGACCTTACCTACTGTCTGCTCATCTCCCTTCTGCTCTGTTTCCTCTGTTCCCTGTTGTTCATTGGCCAACCCCATGGAATGACCTGCCAACTACGACAAACTGCTTTCGGGATCGTCTTCTCAGTGGCAATGTCTTCTCTCTTAGCAAAAACCCTCACGGTAGTTCTAGCTTTTAAGTCCACTCAGCCAGGATCCAAGATGAAGAAATGGCTTGGGAAAAAGTCCACAACATTTGCTGTTCTCTGCTGTTCGTGTATTCAAGCAAGTCTTTGCATGGTATGGCTATGCACTGATCCACCGTTCCAAGACTTGGACCTGAACTCTCTACCAGAAGAAATAGTTGTGGAATGTAATGAAGGTTCAGCACAGATGTTCTACTTTATTCTTGGTTATGTAGGTTTGCTGGCCCTTATCAACTTCATTGTAGCTTTCTTTGCTCGCAAACTCCCAGATACTTTTAATGAAGCCAGATTTATTACTTTTAGTATGCTTGTGTTTTGCAGTGTGTGGGTATCCTTTGTCCCAACCTATCTAAGCACCAAAGGGAAATACACGGTGGCTGTGGAGATCTTCTCTATCTTGACCTCCAGTGCTGGAATACTGACTTGTATCTTCTTCCCTAAATGTTATATAATTGTCTTGAGACCTGAACTTAATACTAAGGAACAGCTAAAAAGAAGAGGGAAAAACTAAGGTTTATTTTGGATAACAGGGTAGACATATCTATTTAGCTGTTTGGAACAAATATTCTTGATCTAAAGACAGGATATAGAGCTTAATCTATAACTGACAAACCTATTTTTATTTTATTTTTTACTAGCGATCCCCTGCCATGCGTTGCTGTGGCCATCTGTGTATAAATGCTTTGTGTGTGTATGTGTGTGTGTATATATTGTGTATATGTGTATATATGTGTGTTTGCGTATATATGTGGGTTTGCGCATGCGTTGTGATGTATTTTTATTTTTAACTTTTTAAGTCTTCTGCTATATTTTTCAGTGTTTTTATGAATGATGGTCACTCATTGGCCTGATACGTGTATTGTGTCCAAATTTGGTGTCAATTCGTCCAGTGGTTTTTGAGTTACGTTAATCCCACAAATGAACATTACATTTTTCTTTATATAGACTAGCCGTCCCCTGCCATGCATTGCTGTGGCCCAGTCTGTATATATGTATTTTGTGTATGTATATATGTGTATATATTTGTGTACATGTGTATATATGTGGTTTTGCACATGCGTTGTAATGTATTTGTTAGTTTTTGGCTCTTCAATTCTCTTCTGCTGTGTTTTTCAGTGCTTTTATGATTGATGGTCACTTGTTGGCCCGATAGGTGTATTGTGTCCAAATTTAGTGTCAATTTTCCCAGTGGTTTTTGAGTTATGTTAATCCCAAAAACAAACATTACATTTTTATTTATATAGATTTCACATTTGTCATCAGCTAGTATTTTCTTATCTAAATAGTAATACCTAAGCTTGATCCTGGTTCCTATGCATATTTGTCCATGCTGTGAGAGCTACAAAACCCCTTCCCACAAAGAATAAACTATTCTTTTCTGTCATGGGAAGCTATGAGTTAAGTTGTATAAAGTCACCTAAACATTATGTATTTGACTTTAATTTTCACAATGGAGAATCAAGTCTGCTTTTTTTTTTTGTTATGTTTGGAAACTGGGTTTATTTCCACCAGAAAAAATATTCTAATCTATATCCCTTGTGCTTGTACCTGGCTCCTCTGTATTTAATGTTGTTGTTCATTCGTTCAGTCGCTTCTGACTCTTCGTGACCTCATGGACCAGCCCACACCAGAGCTCCCTGTCGGTCGTCACCACCCCCAGCTCCTTCAAGGTCAATCCAGTCACTTCAAGGATACAATCCATCCATCTTGCCCTTGGTCGGCCCCTCTTCCTTTTTCCTTCCTTTTTCCCCAGCATCATTGTCTTCTCTAAGGTTTCCTGTCTTCTCATTATGAGGACAAAATATTTCATCTTTGCTTCTAATATCCTTCTGTATTCAATGATGCTGTTTTAATTACAGTTGATGTTACAGGTATCTTGATACAATAAGGCAGATATTTTGCCTTCATAAAAACTACTGACAGTCCGACATCAGGTTCACATAACTAAAAATATCACTTCCAAGAAAGCTTATTTTACTTCCTAGCAGCTGCTTCAAACATTATTTTTATTTATTTGATGTACTGCAACAGGAGTGGGACTGAGAGTAGAATATTCGTTATAATATTTATTTTAAACCCTTAGGAAAATTTGGCCTCCCAGGGGAAGTGAATAAGCAGATACCTGCCCCTTGGGAGGTAGGTGAAGGGAAGATAACTTGGAAGTATGGTAGGTGAAAGATTTGTGAGGCCAAAGAGCTGGGAAAGAGACTCCCCTTGAACAGTTTTCCCTCATCAGCCTGGGGCATGTCACACACACAACACCTCCTCTGCATATTGTGTGACAGCAGAGAGTCTACAGAGAGCAAACTATTGGAGTTTCAGTGTCTTGCCCAGGAAAGGTCCAGGAGAAAGTTGGTGTGGGTTGTTCTTTCAACTTCTAAACTCGCGAGATGATTCTCATCACAACCAATAACTTCATTGGATGAATCATTTAAATTAAAGTCGTCCTGAAGACTTTGTGTTTGGTCTCTTCATTCCCTTGAGGGTGAGCAATTCTCAACATGTGTCTTAGGCAGCTTTGAACACCAAAACTTCTATGGAGCAAAAAAATAAATAAAAATAAATTCATATAACTTTGCATGAAGTCATCAAAGGTCTAGATTAATTTGGAGAGGGGGTGAGGTGCCTCAATATCAAAGAAGCCAAGCAGATAAACTGGTTTAACTCCATTTTTGATAGGCAAAGGTAAAGGTTTCCTCCTGACATTAAGTCCAGTTGTGTCCAACTCTGAGGGTTGGTGCTCATCTCCATTTCTAAGCTGAAGAGCCAGCGTTATCTGTAGACACCTCCAAGGTCATGTGGCCAGCATGACTGCATGGAGCACATTACCTTCCCACCGGAGCGGTACCTATTGCTCTACTCACATCTGCATGTTTTCGCACTGCTAGGTTGACAGAAGCTGGGGGCAACAGTGGGAGCTCACACCGCTTCCCGGATTCGAACCTGTGACCTTTCAGTTAGCAAGTTCAGCAGCTGAGCGGTTTAACCCACTGTGATACCAGGGGCTCCATTTTTTTATAACTTTGGGTTGTTGTTGTTGTTTAGAAATAAGTGTTGCTGTTTTGTACTCTATGCTTTAAGTTTACTAATACACATCCCAATTTTTTTTAATTTTTTCTTTTAAGTAAAGTTAAGTAAGAAATAGAACAAACCAATGCAGCTCAAAAAATCATTAGGCTTTCAATGTGCTTCTCTGTGCATAGATCGTGTCCATGTTTATTTTACTGCACTATTGCACATCATGTTATTCCAAATGCAATACTTTGGGGAAATGTGAGTGCATAGCCTATAATTTTCTAAGAACCATTTTCCAGCCTTCCTGTTGCTGCAGCAATGTTGATTTAACCACCACCACCCTCCCAAAAAAAAGTAATTACATATATTAAGTAGTCTCTGACATGGCTGGAGAAAGTGGCGAGTTTTGGTCAACAAATAGTATATATCATCCTTGAAGCCACCAATTTTACCATCAGGTTTAGAGAGTAGATGTCTGCTATCTAGATGTCATCTGAAGTCTCCAGAGGTACAGAAAGGAAAATGATCTCTATCGAAACCACAGATTCTCAACCAAGGAAAGAAAGCCTTCCCTTCTGCATGACAAAATACTTCTTGCTTTTGCGCCTTCTGGTATTTTTGTTGCTGCCTCGAACAGACTGCAAGATGATGTGTGCCATGAATGATTCCAAGCATCTGCAATACCAATATTATAAACCAGGGGACCTTCTCATTGGTGGGATTACGTCTCAGTTCTTCTCCTTTAATGAAGGAATAGATTTCACAAGGCACCCTGCTCCATATTGGGAAGTTGTACCTCTGTAAGAATTAGTTATATTGGTATCTATAACTTATATATTGCTGATTTAGAAAAATGTATATTCTTGTAGTTAGGCTTTGTGGGAAGGGGGGAAATGATGAATGATTCATTGCTCTATTTCAGTGGTTCTCGACCTTCCTAATGCCACAACCCCTAAATACAGTTCCTCATGTTGTGGTGACCCCAAACCATAACATTATTTTTGTTGCTACTTCATAACTGTCATTTTGCTCCTGTTATGAACCATAATATAAATATCTGATATGCAGGATGTATTCTCATTCACTAGATCAAATTTGGCACAAATGCCCAATATGCCCAAAGGTCAATACTGGTGGGGTTGGGGGGATTGATTTTGTCATTTGGGAGTTGTAGTTGCTGGAATTTATAGTTAACCTACGATCAAAGAGCATTCTAAACTCCACCAACAATGGAATTGAACCAAACTTCCCACACAGAACTCATGCCCAACAGAAAATACTGGAAGGGTTTGGTGGGCATTGACCTTGAGTTTTGGAGTTGTAGTTCACCTACAGAGAGCACTGTGGACCAGGCCCGTAGCCAGGATTTTGATTCGGGGGGAGTGAGTTTGATTCGGGGGGGGGGCTGAGTCTGAGTGAAAGAGGGTCTACCCTAGCAAACCTTTTGTATTTACCCCAATACCCCCATGCATATGGGATATATTGAGCATGGTGATCAGATCATGATATGAATAAACATAACAGTTTAAATAATGTACCAGTAAGGCCTTCTCGCGGACCACCATGAGAATTTGGGGGGGGCTGAAGCCCCCCAAGCCCTCCCCTTGGCTACATTCTTGCCATGAGTACAACTCAAACAATGAAGGACCAAATTTGGCACAAATACTCAATATGCCCAAATGTGAACACTGGTGAGTTTGGGGAAAATAGACCTTGACATTTGGGAGTTGTAGTTGCTGGGATTTATAGTTCACCTTCAACCAAAGAGCATTCTGAACCCCACCAACAATAGAATTGGGCTAAACTTCCCACACAGAACCCCTATGACCAATAATTTCTGTGGTCATGGGGGTTCTGTGCGGGAAGTTTGGCCTGATTATATTAGTGCTTTCTAATGGTCTTCAACAACCCCTCTGAAACCCCTTCGCAACCCCCAAGGGGAGAAACACTGCTCTATTTGCTTCAACAATGTCTTTCTAATACCTCAAGGAATGTGATGTTGAGCTCCAATAGTATCTCTTCAAGCTTCTTCTCTAGCTCCTTCTTTTAAAGCTGCCTACACAGTTCTTATATGCTACCACAAAGGGTCAAAATAACCAATAAGTTATTGTAAATTATATGACTAAAATCCAACCAGGGAGAACCTTGACAGAAGATGAAATGGTTGGTATTAACATGGATAATGTTAAAGGGTTATTTTCCATACTTTTCCCATGTGTATTTATTATATTTTAATCTGTTTTTACCCTCGTCCACACTGTACTATTCAACTTTTTTTTTAACTTTTGCATTGTGCTTTTTAAACTATGACCAAAGCATGGGATTGTTAGTCACATTGAGTCCTCATGGGGAGAAAAGAAGGGTATAAATACAGTAAGTAAGTAAGTAAGTAAATGTATCATGCACCAGGTATGTCAGCTATAACTTCAATACTTATGTTGGAAGGGATCAGACACATCTGGATCTTTGATGAGTAGCATTTTAGATTATGTATAA